TATAGATCCAAATGGTCAAATGGGGCAAAGAGTTTACAAGAAAATTCAAAACATTTTCTTTATGAGCAGAAAAGACTTTTTGAAATGTATGTTCAAGTCCGAAAGGGCCATTTGCAAATGATGTTTGAGAAAGTTTATAAATTATGTATTTATGTTATTGATAAAATAACTGAGAAATGGATTTATTGGTCTAAGGTTCGCAGGGAAGTAGAAATCAAAGTAAAAAAAAATGTGTATAAGTTAGTTCCTTTAGTTTTTACCAAGTTGTCCAAATCAGTACGTTTCTTCTTTTTTCCCCCAGTCACTTCGTTTTTTTTTTACGAAGGGATTTCACTGTATGATCAAGTTGCTTTTCTTTTTGTCTAATTCACTTGGTTTTTCCTGTGTAAGTTTTGGTACTAGTCCTGTTCAGAGGTCCGAAATCTATATCTATCAATTACAAGGACCGAACGGTCAACTTTGTAATCAGTTGTTGGAATCAATAGGGTTTAAAATGATTTATTTAAAAAAATTAAACCCCTTTTTGTTGGAAGAGTCTGGTACGTCGAACTTTGTTATCAATGAAACAAAAAGATCACCCCTTTTTGTTTCATAATATAGCAAAAGAGAGGATTGATGCATTGCTTACTAGACCAAAATATTTTGATGAAAAGGCTAATGGGTTTCATCCCATGAACCTATTTGAAAGAAGTTCACTTATATCCGCTTTTTATAAAGCAAATAGACTTCGCTTCTTTAATATTCGCCCTAACTCTAACTTTTGGTTAGATTGTAAGAGAAGATTTCCATTTTCCTGTGGAAAGGACTCGGAATACTAATTCGTATTTTCTCTATGAGCAATTTCTAAATAGCTTGTTCCTTGGGAATCAAAAGTTTCTTTAGGTGGTGGGAAAAAAAGACAGGTTTTTGGGGATAGAGCTACTATTTCACTAATTGATTCCTTATTTAAGGATTTTGCCAAAAATGGTGACCCACGGTATAACTTTGAGAATTTTTTTAATTCTGTAAGGGAATCCGATCCAGTCATGCCTAATTTGATTCTAAATACTTTTGGAACATCTTCTACAGAGGAAGAAATAGTCAATTTGGAAACAACTTATTGTCAACCGTTTTCAGATCTAAATAGAAATCTATATGATTCAGAAGAAAATCACTTTCAAGAATATCCTAATTTTTAATTTAAATATGGATATGGATTTGGTTGACAATTCCCTGTTCTTATAAATATTTTTCATTTCAAAACAAAAAAAATCGAAAAAAAGGCGCTGTGTTTCAGAAAAGACGGATGGCAACAACTTTTCATAGAGAGAATTTTTTTTTCCATTTTATCAGAAAAATTAAATCTTTTCCAAATGAATTTGCCAAACTTCTTTACTTTGACAGGGTACAAATATCTCTATTCTCTATTGATAGATATAGTTTCAATATTAAATAGTAGGATATCTATTTATTGGGAGATTTTGTATTTATTATGGCAAATTTTTAAGATGAAATTGTTGCCCTTTTTTATAACAAGTGAAATCTCAAGTAAGTGGTTACATAACCGTCTTCTAGCTAATGAAAGGTTGCAACGAAATACTAAAACATCAACACATTTTAGATCACCAAGTGGTTGGGCTTTTTTCGTTTCAACGCTTTTCCTTCTTATTGGTGTTGGTTATCTTGTTATTATAAATCTTGTCTTTGTTTCTCGATCTTTGAGGGAGTTAGATATCAAGTTTAAAAGATTAAAACCTTTTCTAATTCCCTCATATCTAATTGAGTTTCAAAAACTTGTAGATAAATATCCTATGTGTGAATCAAATGGGTTTTGGTTAAATAATATATTTATATTTGGCTTTAACCAATTCGTACGTTTGTTAGAAGGAATCCAAGGTTTTGTTTTCGGTCTCAACAAGATTCATCTTACTTTGAAAGTGAAACCAAGACGTTTGACGAAGAAATCTTTCAATATCCTTGAACAGATAACTGGAATTGCTGTTTCTATAAATAGAAATATGCAATATATCAGTTCTATCAGTCCTACAAGTAAAGAGCTCTATTCATTGATAAGAAAAAGAGAAAACGTGAAGGCGAATTGGATTGATGATCAAATAGAATCCTGGATCGTAAACAGCGATTCAATTCATGAGGAAGAAAGACAATTTTTGGTTCAGCTAGCCACTTTAACAACAGAAAAAAGAATTCCATCGAGTCTGACTGACAGGGATCATTTCTTAAAGAATGACTTAGGTTATCCAATGATTGACCAACCGGGAGCAATTTATTTACGATACTTAATTGACATTCATCAAAAGGATCTAATGAACTATGAGTTTAATAGATCTTTTTTAGCAGAAAGACGCATATTACTTGCTCATTCTCAGACAATGACTTACCCACAAACTTCGTATGCTCATTTAGCATGTCGTGGAAAGCCTTTTTCTCTCCGCTTAGACTTATCCCCCTCTAGAGGTATTTTAGTTCTCGGTTCTATAGGAACTGGACGATCCTATTTGGTCAAATACCTAGCAACAAACTCCTATATGCCTTTCATTACGGTATTTGTGAATAAGTTGCGAGATAAGAGTCGTAAATTTATGACTGATTTCTATATTGATAATAGTATCAATATTAATGCTAGTGACGATATCAATCTGACTAAGAGCGACAATATTGATGACGATAAGAATTTTGACCTTGCTACCGAGCTGGAAATCCTAACTAGGATGAATGCGCTAACTATGGATAAGGAGATGAAGGCTGAAATAGACCGATTATCTATTACCCTTCAATTTGAATTAGCAAGAGCTATGTCTCCTTGCATAATCTGGATTCCAAATATTCATAATCTGGATGTGAATGAGTCAAATTCCTTATCTCTTGGTCTATTAGTTAACCATCTCTCAAAGAATTGTGTAAGAAGTTCTACTAGAAATATTCTTGTTATTGCTTCTACTCATATTCCTCAAAAAGTGGATCCCGCTCTAATAGCTCCGAAAAGGTTGAATACGTGTATTAAATTACGAAGGCTTGTTAAATCCACAAAAAAGAAAGTACTTTTTTACTCTTTCATCTACTAGGGGATTTTATTTGGAAAAGAAACTGTTCCATAGTAACGGATTCGGGTCTATAACCATGGGGGCCGAATATAGGAGATATTCTAGCACTTACCAATGAGGTTCTATCAATTAGTATTACACAGAAAAAATCCATTATAGACAATAATACAATTAGAGGCCGCTCTTCATAGACAAACTTGGGATTTGCAATCACAGTTAAATTTGGTTCAGGATCATGGATCCTTTTATATCAGATAGGAAGGGCTGTAGCACAAAATTTACTGATAAGTAATAGCCCCGTAGATGCTATATCGATCTATCTGAAGAAGGAATTATGTAATGAGGCGGATTCCTATTTGTACAAATGGTACTTCGAACTTGGAAGGAACATTAAAAAAATTTACGATACTTCTTTATCTTTTGAGTTGTTCTGCCGGATCGGTTGCTCAAGATCTTTGGTCTTTCCCCCGAGATGAAAAAAATGGGATCACTTCCTATGCACTCGTTAAGAATGATTCTGATCTAGTTCATGGTTTATTAGAATTATTAAAAGTAGAAGGCTATCTGTTGGGATCAGAACAAAATTATGGATCTTCTTCTATTCTTGATCAGAGATTTCTATATGAAAACTACGAACAGGAGGATTTATTCAGTCACATAGTTTGGGCTCCTAGACTATGGCGTCCCTTGGGGATTTTCTGTGTAGCGAGCGGATCCTTTATGATCAAGAGGATGAGCTTCAAGAGAATGATTCAGAGTTCTTACAGAGTGAAACCATGCAGTCTAAGACACGAGATAAATCTTCCAAAGACAAAGGCTTTTTTCAAATAAGCCAATTTATTTGGGACCCTGCAGATCCACTCTTTTTCCTATTCAAAGAGCAGTCCACGGGATCTTTGTTTTCACGTAGAGAATTTTTTTGCAGATGAAGAATTTTCAAAGGCGCTTCTTACTTCCCACACTTCTCAATGGGAGCATCTACTTCGATATAAAAAAAACACACGATTTTATTATAAAGAAGAAGGAACAAAAGCACTTCAAATTTGTGAGTCATCGTCAGAGATGGCTTAGAAATAAGGGTTCATTTTCTAATGAATCTTTCTGTTCTAGTACTCTATCCGAGAGTTATCACTATTTTATCAAATATGTTCTTGTCTAATGGAACACTATTTGATCAAATGACAAAGACTTTGTTGAGAAAAAAATGGCTTTTCCCAGATGAAATGAAAATTGGATTCATGTAACAGGGGAAAGATCGCGCGATCGCGATCCGCTGCCTAATTGCTTAAAAGAGCTCGGATCGACCAAATCGGTATTTCTATACAGATTTGATCGACCCGAGCTCTCTTCTTCTTGTTAAATTGCACATTCCAAGAGCATTCTCTATAGTATGCCTTGAAGAGGACTCGAACCTCCACGCTATTTAGCACGAGATTTTGAGTCTCGCGTGTCTACCATTTCACCATCAAGGCATCTTCAAAGTGAATCATATTGATCTATATCTAGTGCTAGTGTAATGTATGGAATGGAATAGATACCAAAGTTCGAGTATTTCATAGTATTTTTTTATAATATTTATCTATTTT